TGGTTGTACCATTTTACAGTCCCACCAGCAGTATATAAGAGTCCCAATCTCTCCACATCCTCACCAGTATTTGTTATTTTCTGTCTTGTTGAACTTTGCTACTAGTGCTGGAGCAAGATGGTATCTCATTGTTATTTCGATTTTGCATCTCTCTGATAGCTAATGATTGTGAGCATTTCTTCATATGTTTGTTTCTGCCCATTTTTTAATTGGATTATTTGTCTTTTTGTTCTTGAGGTGTTGGAGTTTTCTATAAATCCTGGAGATAAGTCCCTTGTCAGATACGTAATTGCTAAATATTTTTTTCCCCATCTGTAGGTTCTCTTTTTACTCTTTTGGAGAAGTCTTTGGAAGCACACAAAAATTTAATTTTTAGAAGGTCCCATTCATCTAGTTTATGCTGTCTGTACATTTTGGGTTATGCTTGACAGTCTATTATGCCATATATTAGGGACCCTAAATTTGCCCCTAGCTTTTCTTTAGGCATAACTCCTACAAAAGATGTGCAAGACCTGAACACTGAAAACTAAAAAACACTATTGAGAGAAAGCAGACATGAATAAATTAATATATACTGTGTTCATAATTTGAAAAGCACTATAGGCAAGATGTCAATTGTTTTCAAATAGATCTCTACTCAATGCAATCCCAATGAAAATCCCTGCAAGTGCTTTTGTAAAAATGGCAGACTGATTCTAAAATTCACATGGAAATGCAAAGGATCTAGAATAGCCAAACAAGTTTGAAAAAAGAATGAAATGGAGATCTTATGCCAGCTTCAAGACTTGTGAAGCTGTAATAATCAAGACAGTGTGGTACTGAAGTTAATACAGATAAAAACAAAAGTCTAAAAATAGACCCAAACATATATGGCCAATTTATTTCACACAAAGGTGCAAAGGCAATTAAGTGATGAAAGAACAGTCTTTTCAATAAATACTGCTTATAAAATTGGTTATCCATACGCCAAAAAAAGGAATTTTGACCCTCATACTACATGCAAATATTAATTCAAATGGATCATAGACTTAAATGTAAATCCTGAAGCTACAAAACTTCCAAAAGAAGACAAAGAAACAAAATCTCTGTGACCTAAAATTAGGAAAAAAATTACTTGGATACAGCACTAAGAGCACAATCCATAAAAGAAAAAAGTTCATCAACTGCATGTCATCAAAACTAAGAACTTTTACTCTACAAAAAAGACATTGCTAAAAAAAAAAATAAATAAAAGACAAACTGCGAGAAATATTTGCAAATCATACATCTAATAAAAGACTTCGATCCAAAATATAAAATCATTTAAAAAATCCTATTTTTAAAAAACTAAGCAAAATACTTGAATATGTCACTAAAGATATAGAGATGACAAACACATGAAAAGATTCCCAATATGAGTGTCATTACAGAAATACAAATTAAAGCCACAAAAAATGCCATTACACAACTATCAGAATGGCTAAAATTAAAAAGACTGGCCATATGAAATGTTGACAAGGATATGGAGGAACTGGAGCTGTCTGGTGAGAATCGTGGAAAACAGTTTGGCACTTCTTAAAAAGGTTAAGATCCAGCCATTCCACTCCTAAGTATTTACCGAGAAAAATGAGAACTTATGTTCATATAAAGATTTGTACCTAACCATTCATTGTTGTTGTTGTTATTTGCCGTGGAGTCGGCCCCGACTCATAGCGACCCCTCCTTGGGTTTCCGAGGCAGTATCACTACGGAAGTAGGATTGCCCAACCTTCGTTCCGAGGAGTGGCTGGTGGGTTTGAACCGCCAGCCTTCTGGTTAGCAGTCAAGTGCCTTAGGCACTATGCTAACCATTCATAGCAGCTTGATAATGGAACACCCAGAAACTGGTAACGACCTACTACTACTCAGCAATAATAAGGAATTAACAACTGATATAACCAACAACAACATGGATGAACCTTAAAATAATTATGCTGAGTGAAATTTAAAAAAAAAAAAAAATACACAAAATGAATATCTAAAATTCTAAAAAATACAACTAATCTATAATTGCATTAGTAGTTCTTTAAGGATAAATAAAGAGAGATTAAAAAGGGATATGAGAAAACTTTTGGGGATAATAGTTACTATTTTCTGTATCTTAGTTATAGTGAAGGTTTCAAAGACATATATGTCAAAACTTATAAAATGATATACTTTAAATATGTACAGTCTATGATACAACAAAACGCAACGCACCACCACCAAGTCAGTCCCGACTCATAGTGATCCCCCTCCTTGGGTTTCCAAGGTGGTATCACTACGCAAGTAGATTGCCCAACCTTCCTTCCGAGGAGTGGCTGGTGGGTTTGAACCACCAACCTTCTGGTTAGCAGTGAAGTGCCTTAGGCTATCTATCAATAAAGTTTTTTTTCTTGGTTGTTGTTTTTTTCCAAAAACTAACCCCCAGTGGGGGAGGAAAGAGTACACTAGATAAAACTCAATCAAATCTTGTTAATGCTAAGACTATTTGTGATAGTTGGAGCTGTGTGTCATCTTGGCTGGACCACAATTCTGTGTGGTTTAAGCAGTTGTGATGTGGTTATTCCCATGATGGGATCAGATGTTTATGTTTTGAGCAGCCAATCCATTGAAAGGGAGTTTCCCTAGGGATGTGGCCTGCTTCCAGTATATTAATAGACATCCTGGGAAACGAGACACTCTTCTGTGGATCGGGATTCTGTTGTGCTGCCTACAACTGTCCGTGAGCGAACAATCCACCATTTGGCCTGGAGATCTTGGATTCGTCATTCATTGGAGTCAACAGCCAGTATACTGCCTGCCAACCTTGGGCTCATCAGCCCCTGCAGCTGCGTGAGTTGGAAAAAGCCTCCAGCTTGATGTTTGATCCAGGAACTCTGGACTTGCCAGCTTTTCTAAGTGTGTGAGCCATTTTCCTAAGATAAATTTATCTTTCTCTCTATATATAAGCATTACTGGTTTTGTTTCTCTAAAGAAACCAGTCTAACACACCATTTATATCATCTTATATAATTATTCCTTTCATCACTGTGAGATAACCAAATGATCAAAGAATAGGAAAAAGGAAAAAACTGAGAAAGGCTAAGTAGGAACAAATGGATTTTTTTAGATGATCTGGATTCTAACATAAACTCACTTAGACTGGAGATGGTAATTTAGCTATGCCCTAGCAGTATTAAAAATTCTGAGTTCTTAAAAGAAAATGTCTACAAGGTATACAAAAATACTTGCTGAAATTCATATACAGTAGCACTTATAGCATTACTATGTATGTTTCTCTGTTTTAAAAGATAGAGCAAAAAACAAATCGCACAAAAAATTAATACTTTCTCAAGCTTCCAAAACCAAACCAAACCCACTGCCATTGAGTCAAACTTGCTTAACATTTATTTTGTTCCGACTTTGTGGTACATTCAGCATATAACATCTTGTAATAGCCAGCCATGTAGGCAAAATTAAAGTCATTAATTAAAGGGTTTCTATGACATAAATAAGAGCTCTGGTGGCATAGTGCCTAAGGCATTTGACTGCTAACCAGAAGGCTGGAGGTTCAAACCCACCAGCCACTCCTTGGAAGGAAGGTTGGCCAATTTACTTCCAATAGTGATACCACCTTGGAAACCCAAGGAGGGGTAGCTATGAGTTGGGACCAACTTGACAGCAGTGTGTTTGGTTTTTGGTATGACACAAGTAAGGAGCTTTGGTGGCGCTCTGCCTAAGGCATTTGACTGCTAACAAGAAGGCTGGTGGTTTAAACCCACCAGCCACTTTGCAGAAGGAAGATGAGGCAATCTGCTTCAGTAAAAATTTATCACCTTGGAAACCCAACGGGTATCTCTATGAGTCAGAGTTGACATGGCTCAATGACAGTGCGTTTGTTTTGGGGTTGGGTTAACACACTAAATAACAAATTAATGATAAATGAGACCTGAAGGTCCAAAAGGGAGCTGCATCGTGAGATATATAGCACGGGTAAAAGCAATCACTTACGCCATTCTCCTTTCTTCTGTGTTCACCAGGAACTTTTACACCGTTTCTTTTTAAACTTGGATCCTGAGATCTTGATCCAGTCCCTAAGCAAAAAATTTTTAAAGTGTGCATTAATACTACAGTTGATAGTATATATGAGTTCATTTCTGAGTTCTGCTGTTACTACTATTTGATACTTTAAATTGAAATTATACTTATAGCAACATATTTTCTAACAGCAGTAAAATTAAGGTTTCATAATTCAGCCCGTTTTAGAAAATCAACTCGGAATACTGAATACACTAATAAATATCATAGGCCAACTTTTCAATAAGGAAGTTGCACGATTCAGATACTAACAGAGGGCAAATTAATGAAATAAATGTACTTCTGATTAATGAGTGTTATGTTAATGAGGCCTAACAGAAATGGGGGAACAGAGACGCCAAGCCACATGAAGAATGCCCAGAAGAAGTTCCAGTCAAGGGCCTTTCTCAAGAGGGGACAGAGAAAGACAATCTTCTGCTAAGAGTTGGCCCTCTAAATTTGGACTTCTAGCCTCTTAAAGGAGTTCTGGTGATATAGTGGTTAAAGTGCTCAGCTGCTAACCAAAAGGAAGGTGGTTCAAACCCAGCAGGCACTCTGCAGGACAAAGATGAGGCAGTCTGCTTCTGTAAAGATTTACAGGCTTGGTAACCCAATGGGAAAGTTCTACTCTGCCCCTAAAGAGTAGCTATGAATCAGAATCGATTCCACAGCAGTGGGAGTTTTTTGGGTTAGTTTCCTAAACTGTGAGAAAGAAATTTCTGTGTGTTAAAATCACCCATTTGTGGTTTTTCTGTTATAACAGCCTAGATAACTAAAACAATGCATAACTCACACCACTTACTTGAAGTTGCTCCTATTCTAGTTCTTTACTTAACTACTCAGGTGTGAACCAGGAATGGCGTAATAGAAGGAAATAAGAAAATAATAATAGGGGAGGAACAACTCGGAAAAGGAGGGTGAATATGGTGCACAACTTGAAGAATGTAATGTTACTGAATTGTACATGTACAAACTGCTGAATTGGTATATGTTTTGCTATGTATAATTCTCAAAAAATACTGAAAAAAAAAAAAGTCAAAATTAAATCAATCCATCCTTGTGCTCATTAACAATGTTTGTAACTTAGTGGGGAAGGAAGCAATTGAAAATAGAAAAAAGTGCTATTTTGGATATCTGGTTTTGTGGTAACTAGTAAGTTCAACAAAGTACTTCCCCATATATTTAAGTAAAAATTTCCATTTTCTTAGTTTAGAAAAATTTTAAACACAAAACACTGTGTATTCTGGGTTTGGTGGTTTTTTTTGTTTTGTTTTCTGGCTAAAAGTATTTTAGGCCAAAATACATGGGTCTCAGTGCCAATTAATGCATCATAAAAGGAAAATAGTCTCCAACTAATACACTGTTGTTGTTGTTGTTATGTGCCGTCAGACCCGACTCATAGTGACCCTTCCTTGGATTTCTGAGGCAGTATCACTATGGAAGTAGATTGCTCAACGTTCCTTCTGAGCAGTGGCTGGTGGGTTTGAACTGCCAGCCATCTAGTTAGCAGTCAAGTGCCTTAGGCACTATGCTACCAGAGCTCCTAACTAATACATTACAGGCTGGATTATGAAAGTCTGACTTACATAAAGTCTAGTTACTAACCAATCCCATAAAGTTAATTACATTAAAAGTTTGAGGTACATACAATAGCTCATAATAACAAGCAAGCACTACTTTTTGACACACATCAAAACATTCTTCTTATTATACTACTATATTATTATGTTAAAGATGTTTGAGTGTATTCTACAAGTGTTTCTTATGCATAGAAAGGTACACTATACTAAAGATAAATATCTAAGTGACGTTATACATAAACCTTATATAACTGTTCTGACTTATGTACCAATTCAACTGAAAGGCAGATTTAGTAATGGAACTCATTTATAACCTGGGGATTACCTATGTAAGAAATAAACACTATCAATAGAAACTATTAAAAATACATTAAGCTTATACCTGTACTTACCTAAAATTAGAAAATTTATTAAATTACCTCCAAAGTCACTTTAAAGATTCTTTTGAATCAAATGTCTACTGGACCTGCTTTAAAGATTAGTACATATTTCCATGTCAGTAAGTAAATAAATATGTCCCTCCTCAGAGTAGGATATCACTCTTAACCTAACCCTAGTGTGTTAGCTTTATTTTTAAAATATTATTCAATCTTCCAGCCAACAGCTCAAGTAATGTCACAGTATTTCTGCAAGGGAAAAAAAAAAACTCCTATAATTTAAGAATAATTGCTTTCCTTACTGGTTCAAAAGGAGAACACTTAACTAGTTCCTCCTTCATATGTTCAGTTACATAAATAGAGTAAAAAACAAGAGCTTTAAAAACCACTCCATGTATATCCTGGGTCACAGGTCTGAGATATATCAAATAAAAGAATATGGCAACAATTCCCAATCTTTAATCTAGAAGCCTAGACTGTTGTTGTTGTTGTTGTTATGTGCTGTCAAGTCAGATCCGACTCACAGCAACGACTCCTTGGGTTTCCAAGGCCGTATCACTATGGAAGTAGATTGCCCAACCTTCCTTCTGAGGAGTGGCTGGTGGGTTTGAACCGGCAGCCTTCTGGTTAGCACTCAACTGCCTTAGGCACTATGCTACCAGAGCTCCCAGAAGCCTAGACTAGAAAGGTTAAATTAACACTAATTGTAGGACACTGAAAAGCTTTGCTGTTTTATCCCAATTTAAACACTGTGTGGCACTGGTGCTTTGCTACAATGTGAAAACGGTTCCTTTATCCTCAGATTAAATTCTCACATTACAGACACACTGAAACTGCACACTGCACTATTGAGAAGCTATTTAATAATTTACCCAGTACTATACAAGCAGGTATTTGATCTGATAGATGAACAGGTAAAATTCAACTCCCTTATCAGAAGATTCATGCAGTCATATAAATAAAGAACAACATAAACATAAAATGTAAATGCCAATTTAAAGGCTTAGAAAAAGAAATACATTTAAATTACAGACACCAGTGACACTGAAAGTCATGGAAGCCAGCCTGGGCCAGGTGATTCAATTTCCACTCCTGGCTCTGTCTTTAGGTGTGTGTGGCCTCTGACAAGTCATTTAACCCCTAAGCATCAGCATTTCTCATCTGCAGAGTAAAAGATGCCAGACTAAGTCAATTCTAGGGCCCTACCCACCAGCCACTCCTCGGAAGGAAGGGTGGGCAATCTATTTCCATAGTGATTCTACATCAGAAACCCAAGGAGGGGTCGCTATGAATTGGGTCTGACTCAACGGCACCTAACAACACCACCACCACACTTTGAATTCAGTAATGTTTAATTGTCTGCTATCATATTGTATTAAAGCAATTTTAGTAACAAAATTGAGATTTTTACACTAAAAATTAACATAGTATCTACCTTCTTACTCCCAAGAATTATATACTGAAATCACAAATTACCCTCAATTTCCCATTTTAGTATTTCCAACATTATCTGAAATGCACAGCAATCCTGTTTCAACCCATGGCTTTCCAGTGAGGACAGAGCTTCCCACAGATTCTCACATTTAAAGCTGCTTGTTCTCTCACATTCTACAAAACTTTCAGAGTACAGAGATGGCTGTGGCCTCCTCAGTGTCAAGCATTGCTTCCAGCTCACTAGTTCTCCACCCTTAGGAATTCATTACCTTCTACCCGCTCCTTATTGTCATCTATGTTTTTGCTCACACCCTCGGTCACTGAAGATGTGACTGTCTGACTCCTTTGTCCTCTCCACCTCCAACTGCTACCTTTATTCTGGATGACCTTACCTTTCATGTTGAATAACCCAAGCAACAGCTAGCCTCTCAGTTCTATAGCTTCCTCATCTCTATCTTAGGCTCACTTCACAACCAAGGGGAATCTATCACCCAGAAGTCTTAGACCTCTGAAATCTTAAATTCAAACATTCTACTTTTTGACCACAATTTCCTCTTATTATTGGTCATTTCCTCTCACTGTATCTGTTCTTTATCTGAGACTTCCAGTCTCTTAACCCTGTCTACTTTTCCTGCTGCCCCCTCCTTCAACCTCTATCTTACCAGTATCTCCTCTCCCCTGTCCCACTGACCTTCTACTGTATTTGTCTGGAAAATCCCCAACCTTGGATCAATCCAACTATTTGCTTCTCCACTTACCACCCTACCTAGACCCAGAGAACTGCTACAGGAAAAATTACACACGGTTTCCTGGTCACTAATCTAACGTGGCCTTCAAAGTTGCCAGCAATTTGGTGTCCCTACAAAACACTCACTCCTGTTCTCTGCAACACCTCAAACTTCCAGCCCCCAACCCCCACTGTCACTTTCAGATGACTTTGCCTTCTGCCTAAGAGAAAACAAAGGAGCTCTGGTGGAACAGTGGTCAAAGCACTCAACCGCTAACCAAAAGGTCAGCAGTTTGAACTCACCAGCTGCTCTGCAGGAAAAAGATTTTTTACACAGCCTTAGAAATCCTATGGGCAATTCTACTCTGTCCTATAGGGTCACTATGAGTTGGAATTGACTCAGTGGCGGTGGGTTTGGTGTTTTGTTTTCAGAGAAAACACAGCTTCAGATGAGAAATCCCTCAACTGGGTCCCACAAAATGCACAAATTTACCTGCATGTACTAAGAGCATGTGTAAATCAGGGCAGTCAGAGCACCTTCTCAGGGGCCCTGCCCTATCAATTATTCCCTCTCTTTCCTGTATTTTCAGCCTTCCACTCTACTGACTCCTTCTCCTATCCACATTATTTAAAAGAAAAAAAGCCTATTACACCTCTTCCATCATCAAACACAGCAAAACAAACCTGTTACCCTTCTCTCTCCTCTGATGGCCAGGTCTGTCCTCACTATTTCTCCTTCCTTACCTTTCACTCACCCCTTAAATCACATTCCTCCTGTTCAAGTGCCATCTCTCCCCCAATTACTTTACTGCACAAAATAAAAGATCAAATATTTGTTATGATTCATAAAATACTCAATACCAATGTCTCTGTTAGGGGGGTGTTCATGTCGAAGGAAGAAACGAACTTCATTTCTCTGACTTCCAAACCGTTGCAGAACATCAAACATTCGTTCATTATCAGCAACTGGACGTTCTAGAAGAAATGAATTGAAATCACATTATTTAACAGATGAAAGATAAGCTTATCATTTAACATTTACACTTCATGCAAATTATTCAGTATAAATATAGGAAGTGCTTAGTAGCTGAGAATTTTTTTTTTTTTTTCCATTAAAAGAACTCACAGAAAACAAAGTTATCCCAAGTTTTCCATACAAAAAAATCAGTATCAAATCAGAGGAAAAATACTGGAAAGAATAATGGACCTGGCCAGCAGTGAAGAGTTCAAGTCTAATCCAGTGGGTCCCTTACTAGTTATATAGTTATAAGCATACCATTAAGGAGCTCTGGTAGCATAGTGCCTAAGGCACTTGACTGCTAACCAGAAGGCTGACAGTTCAAACCCACCAGCCACTCCTTGGAAGGAAGGTTGGGTAATCTACTTCTGTGGTGATACTGCCTCGGAAATCCATGGAGGGGTCGCTATGAGTCAGGTCCAACTCGACAGCACATAACAACACAACAACAAAGCATACCATTTAACTTCTTTTGAGTTCCAAAAGTTTCTGTAATCTAAAACAATCAGATCAGTTTCTGAAGTCCATTCTAACCCTAATGTTCTCTAAATACAAAAAGAAAAAAACAAAAAACAACTTTCTACATATCCTACTCTTATTTCCTATGTTGTGCGCCATCCACTTGACTCTAACTCATAGCAACCCTACAGAGAAGAACAGAACTGCCCCACGGAGTTTCTTGGGCTGTAATCTCTACAGGAGTAGATAGTCAGGTCTTTTCTCCCGTGAAGTAGCTGATGGGGTTGAATCACCAACCTCTCAGCAGTTAAGCACTTAACCCCTGTGCCGAAATTGTGCTTCTTTGCTTCCTATTAGGCTACTTTGAAATTACAATTTCAAAAACAAACTATATTAAAAAATCAGCCATCTATTTCCAAACAAAAGGCTAATTATTACAGCAAAAATATAAGTTATTTGGCCTCTGCCAGCAAGACTGCCAGTTGTCAGAACTTTTCCATAGACAAAAACAAAAGGGCATAACTAAAGACTCTGATTAATAAAGTAGGAGTTCAGGAAAAATAATATATCTCGAGCTCTCTCCTCTTCTAATGTCAAAGGATCAGGACACAAAAACCAAACATACTGCTTGAGGACGCAATTGGTAGAATCAAAGAACTTCAGGAATGTTAGTATAATTTTAAATGTAAGAATGTGAAAATACCCTAAAAAAGTTCAATACACTTACCAAGAATCAAAGATACTCTGAGTTACTTAAATAAACAATGTGAGCAGAGAATAGGACAGCCAGGCATTCAGCAGCCAATTCTGTGAACTAACTCTGAAATTAATCTGCTTGGCTACAACAAAGAAAGGGCAGTTCTGGTACTACTTCCTGTAACAGAGAATATTGAGTTGATACAGATAACCCTCTTCTATGAACTACAGAAATTCTAATTAAAACCTCCAAAAAAGGAAACACTCACAGCTGAATAGGCAGTCTCCAAAGGATATTCTAAGTAGACCCTCTTCCAAAAGAAAACATGCATAGCTCTACTCAAATGAATGAGGAGAAATACCCAGTTTCCAGAGAATTCAAAGGAAAAGAAGTAACCCCCAGATGGACTGCCCTGGGGTGGCAGGGGTGGGGAGGTTTGCTTATAAACTCTAGGAGCTAGAGTCCTGTTATAGATTGAATTGTGCCCCCCCCCCCAACCAAAAAATATGTTTTAAGTTCTTGCCCCTGTACCTGTAAAATACAACCTTGGAAATAAGGATTCTTTTTGTTATATTAATGAAGTCATAACAGAGTAGGGAGAGCCTTAATCACTTCTAAGAGGTGTCTTATAAGAAAAGGAAAGGAAAACAGACACATTCAGGCAAAAGACAGACACCAAGGGACAGCAAGGAAGTCCTGGGGCTACTGAAAAAGATGGACCATCTGCTAGAGCTCATGCTGTGATATTCACTTCTAGCCTCCCGAACTGTGAGACAATAGGTGCCTGTCCTTTAAAGCCACCCCTTGTAGTAGTTTTATTATAGCAGCACCAGATAACTAAGATAAGTCCTAAAGGTAGTGTGATAACAAAAGGTCAGACTTTGGCTTAGACAAGCTAAAATAGACAGTTCAAAGGTTCTCAAAGAAATGCATCAGTTCATGAAGAGGAAGATAAAGAATTCTGTAAATAGAAAATAGAAATGAAAATGGACAGAGTGATATATAACAACAAAATTAACAAGCAGATTTGAGTAAGTCTCTAAAAAGTTCTAAATATGAAAAGGTCATTAAAATGCAAATATGCAGGGACTTCCAGCAAGGTGGCAGAACAGTCAGATAAGCTACCCAGACACTCTACAACAAAGAAATGAGAAATCAACTGAATGATAATTTTAAAACCCTGAGCTTCAAAGGGAAGGATAAGAGGATTAGATAATGATTAGCAGAAGAAACTAAATGAAAACAGTGAACAAAAAGACAAACAAACCCGTGAAACGTCAGCTGGCCTGTGGCACAGCCACTTTGAATACTTGCAAGCAATTTTACAATCAGGCCAGCAACCTGAAAGTCAGTTCTCCTTGCCGAGGCCAACATGGGCACCCACACAGCTGGTTGTAAAACAGAAAGGAGGGAGGCAGCAACTGTGCCAAAAGATGCAACTATATCTGCACCTTCTGCAATCCCTCCCACCCACTGAGTGAGGGTTACCACCTCTTCTACACCAACTGATTAAGAACAGATGGTAGCCAATACCAGCTCAACCTGCCCTCAACTGCTCTACATGAACAGCCAAAAGAGATTTCTGTACACATTCTCATCCTGTAGCATACTCACCAGGAGACAGGTGATGAAGGCCAAAGTGCTGCGAAACTAGTGAACACAGTAGCACACCAGCCCACTTGCTTGGATATAGTAAAACAAAATGAGGCAAAAAAAAAAAAAAAAAAACTGGGCATATCACACCAAAATACAATCACCAATTAAATACAATAAAATGACATCTCAATGTTTCAGAGACAACTGACAATCACAGTTCACATAAAGAAGGAAGATAAAGTAGCACAAACAAAGGGCCAGAACACAGAGCAAGAAAATTTCTCTGAGGAAGAAGTGGCATTGGAACTACTGGACAGGAACTCAAAAGTATTATATTTAGATGCCTTCAACAGACTGAGAGATAAATCAAGGAAAACTCAGACAAAGCTCTGAAAGAATTTAGGAAAACCATACAAAAACAAATTCACAAAACTTAGAAACCATACAAAAATATCAAATAGAAATCCAGAAAAAATTAATACTAATATTCCAGAAATAGCTAACACATTGTAAGGGCAAAGGAGTATAACTGAATCAATGGGAGAGAATTAGCAAAAGTAAAGACAAATCTCTCATTAATACTTTATAAGGGAACAATCAGAGAAAAGGACAAAAGAAAAAATGAAGAAAGCCTAAGATTTATGTGGGTAATCATCAAGAGGAATAACTTACATATGATTTGAATTCCAGAACAGGAAGAGACAAATCGAAAATTGCTGATGATTTATTGGAAGAAAACTTTCCCAATATGATGAAAGATGAGAAGACAACATTTACAAAAGTACAATAAAGACCAAACAGGACAGATTGCCAAAAGGAAATCACCCAAGACATATCATAATTAAACTTTCCCAAATCAAAGACAAAGAAGCAATCCTGAAGCAACTTAGAAAAACAAAAAGTTATCTATAAAGTACAAAGGGCAACCAAAAAGACCAACCTCTAATTCCTCAGCAGAAACCATGCAGATGAGAAAGCAACTGGATGACATATATAAAACCTGGAAAGAAAAAAAACTATCAACCAAGAACTATATATGCAACAAAACTGTCCCTCAAATAAAATGGTGATATTAAGACACTGTCAGATAGACAGAACTTAAGAGAATCTGTGAAAAGCAGACCAAATTTATAACAGAGGCTAAAGGGAGTCCTTTGGACACAGATCCAACAACAGCAGGCAACAACCTATTATTAAATATATGATAACACAACCCAGTATCCAACAAAGATGAAGTATACAACATAAAATAAACTTATAACACTGTAAACAGGAAACTAGAGACATAAATTGGAAAATAAGGACAACCACAAAGCAAAAAGTGGGAATAAATACTGTAGTTAAGAATTTCCAAATGGAGGGATTTCCGGTAAGATGGCGGAATAGGCAGAAAGACTGCACAGACCTTCTTCAACAAAGAAAAGGGGGAACCAATTAACACAGATACAGAACATAATCCTGGACCCCTGAGTCTTGAAGGAAAGGATATAGAAGTGGACTAAACCCCAACTAGCAGAAGAATTTGCATGAAAACACCAAAAAAGGAGACATACAGAGCTACGGTCTGGCAGTGATCCTGATGGCACAGACAGCTTGGATATTGCCGAGTGGTGACAGGACCTAAGAATTAACCTAAAAATCAGCCCTGCTAGGCAGCGACTGCACAGAGGACTGCTCTGGTGGCTGGGGAATAAAAGACAAAGCAACAAAGAGAAAGGCAGGCTGAGCTGTGGACTTTGTCTGTCTGGAGGGTGTAGCCATTTTGAATGTTTACAAGCAGCTTGACCATTTTGAGTATTTAAAGCAACAGCATTCTCACAGATTCCAGGAACTTAAGAACAAGCTCCGTATACTAGGAACCGCAAAGACATCCCAGTCTCACGGATGACTGGAAATCTTCACTTAGCAATAAGAGTCACCGTCTCCTTCTAAAACAATGGACCTATGATAAACCACCACTAAGAACAGCCTGACTCACCCTTAGCTGCTCTTCACAAACAGTTAACAGAGATCTAAATACAACAATGTCACAATGTCTCAGAGACAACAGACCATCACAGTCCACACAAAGAAGCAAGATAAAGTGGTAGAAACAAGGGAGCAGGATACAGACCCAGAATATAACCCTGAGGAACAAACAGCATTGGAAATCCCTGATAAGGAATTCAAAGGAATTATATTTAGTTATCTTCAAAGGATTTAGAG